TTCACATCATAATTTTAATATTTTTGTTAAGTGTGATTAGGTATAATAGAATAATTTTTAAAACTATAGGTTTTACACAAAAACCGACAATTTCATAAGAAAGAGGAGAAAAAATTACTATAAATGCAATCATTGACTTGTTCAATTAGCAAATAATAAAAGCAGCAGAATTTTTTTTCTTTATTTAAAATAGTTTTTTGGCTCTCCTGAAAAGTGACCATTTTGAATTGAACCCTTTCTCACTAGAGGCACAGATATCTACAGATGGGCAAAGCACCGGGTTTAAACCCGGTGCTTTGGTAAAAACCCAATAAACACCCATAAACTCCCATAATCACCCAAAAAAATAGGTTTTTACGTATTTTTTTGAAAATATGTAAGTAATACCAATAAATTATTTTTATAAATTGTATTGATCAATTCTACAATATTAAATAAAACGTTAACTAATAATATTTCAGGAAATTTTAAAAATCTATATATAATAAAATGAAAGTAATTAATTTTCAGTGTTTTCATGTTGCAGTTGATCAACATGTTGGCCTTTTGCTTCCCGTAGATACTTTAAAATTTCTTCATAACACCTCGTTCGCACACATGGCCGTATATATTTAAATTCTTGAGCCACTAACAGTCCGAAATACTCATTTCTTTTATCCTCTTCTCCATAAATTAAGCATTTAGAACAGTTTGTTTCTTCTTTCAGTAAATTTTCTTTTACTTTACCCTCGTTTTTTTTCTTTGTTGCGACGACGCTGGGTAAATCATCTGGACACTGGGTCTCACTATCGCCAAATATATTTGGAGATCGGCTTCGGCTACGGCTTGGCAGACATTTTTTTCTTTCTACAATTTTAAATTAAATTTATTAGAATAAATGCTTCGAACACACGCGATCTAAGTACCTTTTGTGTTTATTATACCTTACCTACCTAGGTATAAAAAGAGTACTTACGTAGATTTTCTTTTATTAACTGTTTTATACGAAGATCTTGATCTCTCAAATTAGCATCCATTTTACTTCCAGTGATTATCAACTAAATTAATAATCCACAAAGTATTAAATAACGTTTTTATGAAATATTTAGCACAAAAACAATACCCTTTAAATATCGATCGTCAGTAACTGTGGCTGACTTACCTATATTCTAGCAAGCAGGACTGCCAGATGTGAAGGGGAAATCCCCAATAAATTGTTGCATGTGACTGATGATGTGAGCATGTTCGTTTCATAATAAAAATGTTGCCAGGTAACCAAAAAGTCGTATGTTTTTGTGCGAATTACGATCATAATCTTTACGATCGTACATTAAAAAATAGACAAATAATAGTATGAGTACGATTTAAATCGTATATCTGTCAACCCTGCTAGCAAGACAGCGACAAAATCACGTTGCATAACAATGTAGCCCAAGCTTATATCTTATGAAATATACGGAAGAGATACGGACTTAGAAAAAACAGGAATGTTGTTCTTTGTGGAAGTCATTGATGAAATTCTATGTATTTTAGCCCGCAAACTTTCTTCAAACAAAAACAGCGCCATCTAGTATCGAGTTCTGTAATTATCTCTTTGTTTATGGATTTGAAGTAAGACCGCCACGCATGCAATACATTATGACTGGGGATTCCCTATTCGTCGACGCTGAATATGAGGCGACGACAATCACTGTCAAACGTGTTTACTATTACTCTGACTCTGGTAACGTGACTTCCTGGTAACGTGTTAGGTAGGAAAAGCAGTAAAAAAGTGCATATTAAGGGAGCAGATTTGAAATAATATTTATACTTAACAAGAAATAATTAAAGGTAAGTGGATTTTTGAATGATACAATTATATCATGATCACTTAACAATTTTAACTTAAAATTAGATGTATTATTACAAGCTTTTATTTAGCTTGCGTTATGTAAATAAAAGTATGTAGGTATGTTCGTATGTTGATGCAATTATCCTCAATCCTCAACCGACTGGGATAAAATTTTCCATACACGTTTATTTTGGATGATAGTGCATAGTTAGCTGAGAGTCGTCATTGGATAATAATGGTGGATAGCCTAAGATGTGTACTAGATATTTATTTTTAACATAATATGCGTAAGTACCTAATCGAATTAAAGAAGTTGCTGAGAAAAATACAGAACAATACGATAATAAACTAGCGTCTGCGTTTAATCCTCCGAGGAGATGTAATTTTACAAAGGTTTTTTGTATTTATTTTATTATTTTTTTAATAAATTTATTGTAAATAACAAGAAATAATCATTGTAAAAAAATAGGCACTCTATTGTTGAATTTTCGTCAGACCAACTAATCATCGTTCATTTTTTTATGTTCAATGGGGAGATCTAAAGATTTACGCATATGGGAGCACTACCGTACTTTACCAAACAAGTCTGTTTCTTGCAAGCTTTGTAATAAGGTCTACAAATTCAGTAATGCTGCCAAAATGCTTCAACATCTTATCACTTGTCCAAAATCTCCAGAAACATTAAAAGACTCTATGAAACTTATAAAAGATAGCTCGTCCAAAACCAAAATGTCTGGACTGTCAGAGATAGAGACAAATGATTCTTTTATAAGCCCCTCGTCGTCTGCTAACACTACAATAAATGCTGAATTTCAAGACACCGATGATCATATAAAAACAGAATTAGCGAGAGCTATATTTGTAACAGGGACGCCATTATCGATGGTGCAACATCCTTTATGGATACAATTTTTCGAAAAATTGCAACCAAAATTTAAAATACCTTCACGTAAAGCTTTAGCGACAAAATACTTAGATAAAATATATAGAGAAATGCGTTTTGAGTTAAATGAGGAACTAAATGCTTGTAGTTACTTACACCTTCAGTGCGATGGCTGGTCTAATTTAAGAAATGAAGGAATAATAAACTTTCTTATATCAAAACCTCAACCTGCATACGTTAAAAGTTTGAATACAGAAAGTAATCCTCACACTAGTGAATACCTTAGCCAAGAAGTTGAAAAAGTAATGAAAGTGTATGGAGCAAATAAGTTTCTTGTACTTATTGGCGATAACGCTAGAAATATACAAAAGGCATTCGAATTAACAAAACTCAAATATCCACATGTTGTTCCTCTCGGTTGCTGTGCACATATCCTTAACTTGTTGTGCCAAGATATTGTAAAGATACAAGAAGTAACTGTGTTTATTATGCAAGCCATAAATATAATAAAAACTGTTAAAAGGAGTCAACGATTAAGTTCCTTGTTGATAAAATCAAGGCAGGGTGAAGATTCTACACAAACACTAAAATTGCCTTGTGCTACAAGATGGGGAAGTCATGTTACTTCGTTAAAAAGTTTGAAAGCAAATAAGATAGCTTTGCAAATATTAACAGTTAGAGAAGATGTGGTAATTTCAAGAGATATTAAAGATTTAATTCTAAGTGATGATTTCTGGACGAAGACAGGGGAATGTATAAGTATTTTGGAACCAGTCACTGAAAGCATATTTTACTTAGAGAGCGACCAGAATCGTTTGCATCGCACATACATTACATTTAGAGATGTACAAGCTAAGATACGTTTTGCATTAAATGAGATTTCGACATTGAGCGAAGAAAGCAAACAGCAGATTCTAACATCAGTATCTTCAAGATGCAATATGGCAATGAGGCCAATACATTTTGCAGCATATATTCTAGACCCCAGGACTCTAGGAGTCGAACTTACTCAAGAGGAAGAACTTAAGGGTATGGAGTTTATCTACAATTTAAGCCATCACTTAAGTTTGTCAAATGTAATGGCAGATTTGGCGTGTTATAAAGCTAAAGAAAACTTTTGGGCCAGAGGATTTGTATGGAGCTCATTAGATAGCATTGAGCCCCTAATATGGTGGAAAGGTATTTGTGGTTCCACTGAGTTAAGCAAAGTAGCGATTCGTATTCTATCAGCTCCCTGTACTTCGGCAGCCACTGAGCGTTCCTTTAGTATCCAAGGCTACATACATAATAACAAAAGAAATCGACTTACAACTGAAAGAACTGAAAAAATTTCATTCATTTGTTATAACTGGAATCTTAAACATAAAGCTGAATGCGAGGACATTCAGTTTAATGAAGAAAATACCTTAGAAGCTTTCATTGAGCAAGTAAATGAACATAACAGTTTAGACGAAATAGAGCCTATCGAACCTATACAATTCATCGCTTGTAATAACTCTGAATCTGACAGTGATTGACTGTAGTTTTACATTTTACTTTCATCTCTTTCTTAATAAACTCAAAATCAAATTAAAAGTTTTTTATTCTGTAGGCTGCATAATAATATTGTCTATGTCCAGTATAGTGGACGTCTTGCGGCTGAGATGACGATGATGAAGTACAAAATCATAAACACCCAAAAATTTGGGTGTTTATGGGGTTTAAACCCAATAAACCCAAAACACCCGGTTTTTACCCACCAGACTTTAAACCCACCCAGGTGGATTGCCCATCTCTACAGATATCTTATTTTACGCACACTGCCCGCTGGTAATTAATGCTACTTTACACTCAGGGTTTGCTAGAAGAGAACTCTTACAAAATTAAGCTCACCTGTTGTACATCTTTATTCAAAATAAATTATAACAATATAATTGTTATTATTGTAATGGTAATGTAGGTTTTTGTACAATAAAGTCTAAATAAATACATAAATTGAATAGAAAATGAATGCTGCTCTGAGTCTTGTGAATTAAATTTAAAGAACTATTAAATATAAATACTCTTATCGTCTTACTTTTATCATTATCATATTAATTAGTCGAAGACTAGATAATTTATCGAATATACTAACACATCGACGATACAATGTGGATATAGTACTACATAATGATATCATTAAAAAAAAACAGAGGGACAACAGATTTACTTACAACAAGACGTTTTATCTTTCATTCGAATCCATGACATAGGTAGATATACAAAGATTACCGGTGTGATGTCACATAATAGCGAAGTTTTTGTTATCAATTTGCCAGTAAGTAGCAATGTCACATATGTAACAGACACAATTTTTGTTGATAATTTCATGTTAAAATTTAGTTTGTGTTGTCTTATTTATCGTGAATAATTATAAACATTTGTTAGTTCATAATAAATTACAAAAAATGGTTCCACCAAAAACAATTCTCGAAATCGTGTCATTTATAGTAAGTTCATTTACCTTAGATTTTATTTTTTCATGACTATGAAAATACTAAATCACTGTGTCTTATCGCTGACCAAATCAGTTTGTGAATTTACGTAAGTAATATACGAGTGCATACTTGGTTATTTGATGTAAATTATTTTATATAATTCATCTCCTATTAGTATGTGTGTAATTGTCAACATTCGAGGTTTAACTACTATTATCACTTCCAGAAGACTGCCATTTCGTCCACGCACGTTTTGCGATATATGTTTTACTTCGAAACGAGATATCTTCAGGCAAATTAATCGCTACCTAGAACCTAGTGTTTGTCATTCGGGAACGTTTTAAGTTTGTAGTCGCAGTCGAAGATTTATGACTAAAATTAAATATTAAGGAATATCTGGTAATAAAAATAATAATCAATTATAGAGTGTTGGGAGTGGCATGGTAATGGTAGCGAAATTAAACAAAATAATTTTAATTAAATAACCAATGATATAGACTTCTGCAAAATAACATCTAATGCTGTAAAATAATATATATGATGTTGCGATATTCAACAAATTATTCATCTTTTACAGGACATGTTTTCCGTTGGTCTTATAATGCCTCAACTTGGAAATTTTGCAATCAAATTGGGATGTAACCAACTTCAAATTGGAACTATGGGTGCTCTGTACTCAGCGTTCCAATTGATATCGGGACCGATGATAGTGAGTATAAACTTCCACCTAACTGGTAACTGCTACCATACAAGTAGACTTATGAGTGTTTTACTGTTGTTGCATTTAATCTTGTAATAATAATTCATAATAAATTTAATTTTCTAACCTCATAAATCTCTTTAACATTTATAACTTGTGTTTTTATTAGCTTTTTTATGACTTTCGTTACATGCAAATATTTCATTATAATCAAAAAGAAGAGACATTACCTAATCACATTATAATTTCTCTATATTTTGTTTATTATCTCCTAAAACGTGAAATACTGCTGTCGAACCATAATGGCGTTATATACTACCTTAAAATAATGAGTATGAAATTTTACAATTCATTACTTTTTATAGGTTCTATTCGATTCCAGGGAACTTGGAGTGACTTGAAAGGCAGAAAACCGACACTAATATTGTCTCTGGTTTTATGTGCATTTGCTTACGTAGTGTTAGGATTTACAACTACAATTCTTACATTTTTTGCAGTAAGATCATTTCTAGGTAAGTGTATATAATAAGGTTCATTTAATTAATAGTTGGTTTTTAGATTTTATATAATATAGTGTATGAACTATGTTTGTGTCCTCAGACATTTTTTTATCTTGATTAATACTTTTTGTTCAAGATAATGGGATGACTTAGAATCAAAGTTCACATAAAGAGATGAAATTAATACCAAAATTCAATATATGTTTTCGTTCTATTACCTAATATATTTTAATACTCAATTTTTTTTTTCCAGGTATTGTAAAACAAACACAATTATTGGTTAAAGCATTGGCACCAGATTATGAGATAGATTCATCCGAACAAGCTGCAGTATTTGGAAAATTAGCAGCACTATCTAGTGTGGGAATGTCTTTGGGACCGATAATTGGTGGTCATATTATGGAAGTCTATCCTGAAAATGGATTCACTGTAATAACTTGTTGCAGTGGACTTTTATTTATTGTAAATGCTAGTGAGTTGTAACTTCTTTACATTAATACGTTTAATAACTTATTTTTGAACATTAATCTAAATTATAATGTAATTTACAGGTCTTATTATATGTCTACCAGATACAAATAAAGAGAAAGAGGAAAATAAAAAAGATAACCGTAAAGTGGCACCTTGTATATTAAAATCTGTTATAAACAGCGTCAAGGAATCTGTGGAAGAATTTTACAAAGTAGATTGGTCTATTTATTGGGATGTCTTTCTATTCAAATTACTAATAACGTTATGTATGGGAACGTATTTTGGTAGTTACGGAATATTCTTGAAGAAAATACATGCTGCATCTCCAAAATATTTGGGATACATTATAGCATTTCAAGGTGGTATAGGTGCATTATGTACTTATTTCATCGGACATATCAATCAATTATATAAAAACGACAAAGATTTCAGTAAAAGACTGTATCACATATTTACTGTACTAACGTTGGGTTTACTAGGTATGGCTTTAGCACCAAATTTATTGTGTTATGTAGTGTTCACAATACCACTCGCGTTAAGTGGTGCTATGGGGAGAATAATAGGGTTGGAAATGATAATGAACAAAGGAGAGAGTGACCGTAGAGGTGCATTGATTGGGGCTACCAGTAGTGTAAGATCACTCTCTGGAGTTGTTACGCCGATGTTTGTCGGTATAATTGGTGAATATTTAGGCATACAGTATGTATTGTATTTTGCTGCTTTATTCGCAGTAATGGGCATATTGACATCCTATATTATAGGATCTCAAACTGTATTAAAAAACAAGGCAGACTAAAATGTTCAATTACGTATATCTTCTTAATGGTAATTTATTTGCTCATTGTGATATTAATATTATGAACTGTTAAATAAAATCTACTATCAAATTCTATTTTTTTTAATTTTCTTTTAATTTATATATATATTTATATTTAATACTTTATTGTACACATTAGTTATAAAAATATGACAGAGGTAAACAAAAGTACAAAGGCGAGCTTAACTCTGATAGAGTTTTCTTCCAGCAAACCCAAAGTGGAAAGGAGCATCAATGTCAGCGGATACAGCAGTGTACAATTTTTAAATAGCCAAAATTAAATTAATTAGATTATATTATATAGTACAAATACACACATACATATACATAAATATATACCTACATCTATGCATAAACCTACATATACATACACATATACATACAATATACCTTTTTTAACATATATTTTCTATATTTTTTTAATATATCTGCATTACTACATATCGAATAATATTTACTGAACGAGACAAGGTTATAAAAAGTCTAGATGTCAGTCAATTTACTATAATAATCTGCTTCTCAAGTTTGCTAAACCTTCAGTTTATTTTGTTATAATGTTACAAATTCAAAATTTCAAGACACACATTCGTTAGATATTTAAACCATCTTTATTTGAAGGATTAATACCTGCATTGTAAAATACCTTCAATTTATTAGCAATTAAACATTACACAACAAGTAACTTCTTTTATTTTGCTACAATAACTGTTTTTACGTAAGCAATATGAAACCTGTATGATTACTAACACTTTTATTGGGGCATTCTCACACTATCTCCGTATAAAATGAACTAATTACTAGATAAATGCATAATGCAGGTGTGTATGTGGTGCTGTCTGGTGTGCTCGCAGTTCCCACGGTGGGTTCCTTCCGGAGGCGCATGCGCAGCGACCCGTGTCGCTACCGACTTGAGACATGGGCGCCCACCTAGCGCCTCTCATTGTTACACTATAATTTATTTATCCATACCATATAACATGCGACTTTTTTTAAAATAACTATAATGAGTTCATGTTTAATAAGAATATTATAAAAGAACCCACTTTTACCATTTGCACTAGACATTTTTTTTTTATTTATCATTTACCGCTACATGCATCAAGCAATTTTTTAAATGAGCAATTTAAGAAGAAATAAAATCTACTAAATTCTCTAGCCTGATAGATGCCCCGAATTTAACGTGTTAAGAACGAGTCCTTAAATCGAAGTCCTAAAGTTTAAAATTCATATTGAAATAATAAAAGTAGACTTATAAGAATGATTTTCTAGTTTGGTCTAAATGTATATTTAATGCATGTGACGTGGTCATTCTTTAAAAGGTTAAAAAATTTGTTTGAAAAGTTCAAAGGTTTGGGATAGGATCCCATATTATAAACCTTAGTTATTTATATTCATTTGCATTTTCTTAGAGTACCTATATAATAATCATAAATAAGTAGGTAATTAAAAATCTTGAATATTCTTAATTACTAAGGTATACAATAAAAAATGAATATATATATTCTTTATTGCGCTTGTAGATTACATATAAAATAATGTATTTATAAATGTTGTAAGGGTGAACTTATCTCTGACAGAGATCTCTTCCATTCAACCCAATACAATGAGAAAGCATTTTGTTAGCGGGCAGCTGAAGTGCTACAAATATATGATGTAAGAATAAAAAATAAATTTCAGATGAACTGAGTTTAACAAGACTAAGTGTTACGTTTCCTTAATATATAATTTAATAAAATCTAAATATAATAAAAACAAAACTAAAGAGAAATAAACTGAGTTCACTGGACCTTCCCACTATTTGCATAACAGTTCGAGTTCAACCGAGCGTGGCGCTAATATTCGAGCGATTATCTCATATAATCTATATAAATAATTAGTGTTTCACAAAAAAAAAAAAAAAAACAGATTTCAGTTGGGATTAAATCAGTTATTTTGATTTAAAAACTAGTTACTGAAACGATTTTTTATAAATTTTCCAATGGGACCAATGTGTAAGTTATCCTTTCGGATAAAAAAAGAATTTTCCAAATTAATTTACAACTGACAGAGTTATGAGATAACAATCAAAAACATACAACCGAATTGAGAACTTTCTTCAGTTTCAAGTCGGTTAAAATTAAATGTTGGTAATTTGAAAATGGCTGGATCGGTTCGTCTTCTTTTTTAATGTTCATAATATTCGAATTCATTTTTAGGTAAAAAAAAATAATATTTTTGGTTAATACAACGTTCATCCGTTTACATATAAGCAATATACCTAAATATAACATACATTTAGGTGCCTACAAAAAAAATTGTGAAATATTGGACATCGACAATGAACATAGTAAAATTTTTACTTAGAATTTTTGTTACTCTTTATTCAATGTCGCAGAACTAAATGTTGAATCATTGTTTGTTTGCATTCATCATACAAAACATGTTAGAGAATTAAAATTAACAGCTATTCATCTGAAATACCACATCTTAGAACGAATTAAAACTGTATGAGGATCAGTATTAATATTTATAGTTTAGTAGAAGATGGAAAAAAATACTTGGAGCGGAAATGTATAGGTATGCTGTCGGCACACGACGGAATGTCGCAAGTGTGTGCAGGTGTGCTCTTCAAAAATAATAGTCTCTAAACTGATTGGATACTCGTCAATAAGTTGTTTACGATATATTAAAATAGATTTTTTATTGATGAAGGTATCTACAATAATAAAATGTAGATTTTATAAATATAGACTCGTAATGGATTGATCGTCTCAAAGCCTTCTCATAATACCTTCGCAGCATTCTCAGTTTATGTCTATTAACTGTTACTACCATCAGTTTTAAGAATAGAACGTCTGAAGACTCACACGGAGTACCGAGCTATATTCAAAAAAATTTATCTAAATGTTAATCTTTATGTTAATAATCTTGTTACATTTCAAGTATATTTTGCTCACTACTTCGTACGGGTGGATTTAACAAATAACAAAAAAAAAACAATAAAATAGATTACTTCAAGATGGCGTATTAAAATAAAACATATATCAGATTTTAAGTTAGACCTTCAGAAATACAACTGTAAATACCGCATCTAATTTATTGTAGTAGTTTGTGCACAATGCGGGAACAAACAGACAGAAAAATTATAGTTTTGGCGTTTATAGGTCATTATTAATTTTTATTGATTATCTTTCATGTATAAACATCGTTCAGTTACAATTTTGGTAATAGTAAATTAGATATTAGTATAACAGGACTTATTATTTATTAATTTTTCGATTACATTTAAATAATTGACATAAATAAAATATGGTATAAAAGGCGGACTTAATGCTAGTAGCATTCTCTACCTTTTTATTCTCTCCCAAAGGTTGACTACCTTTGGAATAAACACTGAATCCTAAATGCGGTTCTTTATAATTGGAATAGATACAGAAAACATTATATTTTCTTAATTTCGTCCGTTCGAAAATATTCTAGCTCTAAATGTTGCAATTTTACTTTTAAGAGCAATATCTTAAATCCTTTCAGTTCTCGGAACAAATAGTTCATTAAAATTCAATACACTGATATCAATGTGCGTGACGTGAGTACAGACAAACTAATAAGGTATGTATATTCTTTCTATTATTTTCAAGTTACCTGACCCTTTAAAAAAATGATAATTATCGACAGATGGATATGGACATACAGACGAAGATCATAGATCACCTTTCAAAGAAAAACTTCTGTCAAATAGACAGCACTGTAAATGTTAATTACTCTGTTGACATTTAATTAAGTAGACAATGTTGATAAATATGTTTTAGATGAATACAATGTACACATCCATCTAAAACGTCATGTAATATAGAGGCCAGTAATGAGATCGTTGTTCAGTTTCATCAAAAACGCCTTTGATACTTACTGTTCGCAAGAACAATGCAAGCAATGCAATTTGTTGCCTACAGGCACCAAATTCATAAAACCCTACATACCTTTACGCTTATAATTTAAAATTACATTCCGTAAAAAACTTTAAAAATCAGATTTGAGAGTAAACTCTAGGTAGGTGTATATTAAAAAAAGAATTGTTTATTTTATTGTAGGAAAACCAATATCTACACAATTGCACTATAGAAACAATGATAACAACAAAAAATCATTTACAGGCTTTCACAACTACATTTAAAATAAAATTTTGAAACCTGTTCTGAAGCGAAAATATCGTTAACCATACACACAATAATATACGGATAAACTAATGAATAGCCTTTTGTGAGTGCGAAAAAAACTTAGTATTAAAAAAAAATATCTTCATAAACATATATACATAAACACACAGTACATATCTGAGCATGGTATGATGATTAGGTAATGAGGTCACATTACTGTGATGTTTAAAGCCTATTCCCATGAACCATCCCATACCATCAAATATTATTTGAATAAATACCTGTACTATATATAAATCACCATGTTAAATATGTCTAGCATGTAAATATTCAACTTTACGTACTTTAAATTCATTACATCAAATAGTACCAGTGAGGCGTATCACGCAGTTTTATAAACTATGCAGAAGGTATATGTAGATAGAATACGTGTGCTAAATTATAATAACCTTGAATGGAACAAAATTCATTAATAATAAGTATTGTATATGGTGATACAGGTCACTAGCATTCTGTTCATGATCGAGATAGTCAATCAAATAATAATAAAATTTTAAATAATTTAGGAAGTGACAAGGATATTCTTACAACATCAATAAAATATTTCTTAGATTATAAAATGTATGAAGAACGTTATCCTAACACTAGATGGCGCTGAACTATCCAAACAAAGTAGAATCTATTTATTTTACTATTTATTTGTTGCTTAACTTAAGTTTAGTAGAGACTAAAGAAAATGTTTCCAGTAATATTATTACTGTGACAGTTTGTAAACATGTTTTTTTATGACTTGTATGATATTTGATAGTATAGTATCATATTATCTGTGATATTTGATACACAAATCAAAGCCTACATTAAAATAATGAACAGTATTTACCTTGAGAAAACGATACAAATACTATTTTAGAAAGAATATAATAACATGTTAGAATAT